CCACCGCCGAGAACGGCATCTGCCGAGACTACCACGCCCGGCCTATCGCTCGGTCCACCAGCGAACCGAGCGGGGGCTACATGACACGGTTGCTCACTGCCACTGCAGCATCAAAGACGTTTCTTGCCAACGCCTTACTGAGAAGCGCAACGACCTCCGTTTCAGGGATCAGGCACCCCAGACCATACAGGCGATCCGCCATCACACCGAGGAGCTCCGCCAGCGAATGACGCTCCTGGCGGGCCACTGCATGGGCAGCCCTGAGGCGCGGGCAGGTTGGCAAGCCGATTGCGAGGATTTGGTCCGCCGCCTCCCCGAAGGCTCGATCTGCGCGGCCCACTTCAGCCCAAACGCGCGAACGGCCGACGTCCAAAGGGGCGATCTAGCCGCCCGCTCATGCCAAGACGCCTGGACGGAAGGCAGTGCAGAGGCGCCGCTGGCTCGCCGCAGGCTCCACCCCCGCGCGGCTGCGACGCATGCGCTCGGCCAGCCGCGGCTTCTTCGCGACTGCGGACACCTCTGCAGTTGCACCGCGCACCAGCACAGAGGAAGAGGAGGAGGGGGAGGACGAGGAGGGGGAGGAGGAGGAGGAGGAGGAGGAGGAGGAGGAGGAGGAGGAGGAGGAGGAGGAGGAGGGGAGGAGAGGAGGAGGAGGAGGGGAGGAGGAGGGGAGGAGGGGGAGGAGGAGGAGGGGGAGGGAGGGGGGAGGAGGGGGAGGAGGAGGAGGAGGGGGAGGAGGGGGGGAGGAGGAGGGAGGAGGAGGAGGAGGAGGAGGAGGAGGAGGAGGAGGAGAGGAGGAGAGGAGGGAGGAGGAGGAGGAGGAGGAGGAGGAGGAGCAGGAGGAGCAGGAGGAGGAGGAGCAGGAGGAGGAGGAGGAGGCCCAGCGCCCCACGGCCCAACGCCCAACGCCCGCGCCTGCCGGCGACCACCGCGGGCCCCCCCCACCGCAGACCACAGCTCGGCCCACCGCCGTGGCTCGCTGGCCCGCGCTCGGCCCCGCAGCGTCACGGAGCCGCGGGCCACGGCGCGCCACGGAGCCGCGCACGGCCCGCGGCCGACCGGAGCCCGCCGCGGTTGGCGGCGACCCGCCGCGGGCGTTCCACGTGGAACGCTGCTGGCGACCCGGAATCGGTCGATGCCGAGCGATGGGGCGTTTCGGAGACGGTGATTCGGAAACGGCCGATCGTTCCATCGGCGGCGAGCCCAGGGGGGAAGATGAGAAGGAGAAGGCCGTGTCAGGAGGCTCGGAGGTCCCCTGGCCTTCGGAGCAGTTTTCTAGTCCTTACCCGAAGACACAGAGAAAACTTCTCAGAAGGCGCGAGGGCTTCTGAGAAGTCCCGCCGCCTTCTGAGAAGGCCTTCTCCTTCTCATTTCCCCCCTCGCTCGCCGCCGATTCAAGGCTGAACGATCCCCGCCCGCGGTGTCAGAGACCAACGCTGGAGTCGGCACGACACGAGCTTGCCGCAGTCGGCTTGAGCGTGATGTCCCCGCCCCGCCTTTTCTGGACCCCCTCATGGCTCTCAGGTTCGTCCACCCCCGAAGCCGTCGGGTACTTATGCAGCGATCCATTTCCATCTTTACCGGTTGGCCCACCAGGAGGGCAAGGCCCATCCCACACCCATCCCGTAGGCTTCCGCCCAAATCATGGCGAGGGCGGCTCTGCTGGCTGTCGATTTGCTCCTGGACAAATCCGGCCGTAGAAGGCGGTAGAGTGGAGACCATTGCCAAGAAACACCTTGCTTGCCTCCAGGGTGCCATGGGTTTCTTGGGTTTCGATGGTTTTGCAATGGAAAGCGTGACGTCCCCACACCAAAAATCAGTGGACGTCCCTGGGGTCTCAGGGCTGAGTTTCTCGTGGAAGCTTTCTTGTGGACTGGCCTCCACTGCAGTGCGGTCAGGAGACGTGCTTCCCCCAGACGCTCCAGCCTCTCCCCCGGGGATGGCCCATCCCCGCCGTGGTCCCACCAAGCGCCAGGCGCAGCCCCCCTGGATCTTCGTGGACGTGCGCTGGGCTCCTGCGCTCTCCCAGAAGCTGACCACACGCCACGGTGTAGGACGAGGAGGAGGAGCAGGGCGAGGACGAGGAGGAGGGGGAGGAGGAGGAGGACGAGCCTAGGACGGGCAGGACGAGGACGAGCAGGACGAGGAGGAGGAAGAGGACGAGGAGGACGAGGAGGACGAGAACGAGGACGAGGAGCCGGAGCAGGACTAGGAGGGGGAGGAGGTGCGAAAGGGGGAGGCGGAGGAGGGCGTCGGGCCTTGCTTGACCACGGGGGGAGCTGTCAGCTGCCCCGGCAGAACGCCGGCTGCGAGCCGCCGGCCCGAGGCCGCGGCCCAGGACAGGGGGAGTCACCGTGGAAGCAGCACTGGGCGTGGGGTCTGAGCAGGTTTGAGCTCGTCAGTGGTTTGGGCTCCGTTCCCACGTTCAAGGGAGACGGCGCGGCCGAGGTGTCCGGATCTCGTTCCAGGTCGGCTTCAACCAGACGGGCTGCCAAGAGGC